GCCCACAAATGTAGTGGTAGTGTTTGCTTAGGTTAGGTTCAATGTTGAACAACAACGTTTGTGGGCTGGCACACAAGAGACTAGGGCATAGAAATTAATATGCCTGGTAGTATAAATAAAATAGGATAGAAACAGTGGAAGCTAGAGATGCTTGGCTAACTATAGTCGTGATTCAAAGAACAAGTTTAAGATCAAACACGTCTATTGTTAGCCAAAAAGCTTTAGTCTCCGCCGAGTCTTTACTGTTTCCATCTGTCATGGTAAGAATCCTGTTGAGGATTTTGCTATGACCCAAGCTACGTCAAAATTGCATATCAACCTATATTATGATATCATTTTGGAAAAAAGGCTATGTGAAATTCACTGGACATGTCATGTTTACTAATAGCATAATGGGAAGATTTAATTACCAGATACCTTGTCAAGATGCGGTGAAAACAGCTAGATAGCCAAATTTAGATAGCCAAATTCTGTTTCAACAATCATTTGCAATGCAGGTTATTGCCTAGAATTAGCTAATATTAGAATACAAGCAACCAAATTTCTCTGAAAGAATATAAAAACAAGCAAGTACATAACCTTCCACAAATACTAATAATTTCTATTTAACACAACTATATTGCTGATTTACTTGGTTTTTACTATAATTACAGTACTTAAAAACTAATTTTAATAGAAATTTTGGTTCTTTTAATCACTTAAGTGGTAAGGCGGCCTGATCTTACCCGCTATGACGGAACGCAAAGTCCTTAATGTACATTTGATTTTGCTTCATCGTATAGAAATATTTTCCACCAGATTATGACCCCTCTAAAATACCTAGACTTTTTCGAGGGAGGAAAGGTCGTTCCTTTAATATTCGCACAATGGCTCCATTCAATATGAGGTAATTTATATTAATTATTTTTAGATGCAATACTTGCAATGGATATATTTACAAAGCAAAGAAGTTCAACTCTAAGATGGAAGTCGCTGAAGATATTGAGTATCTGGGGCTTAGACACTATAGGTTTTACATCAGATGCTCAACCTGTTGTGCAGAAATTATATGGAGGGTATTGTGCTTTCTAATTTATTCCTAGACTGATTTGGAAAGCGGCGATTATACCCTAGAAAGTGGTGCAAAAAGGAATTTTGAAGCTCTTAAGACAGCGGAAGAGCAAGAAGCAAAGGCTGCTGCAGAAGAAGAAGAGGAATTAAAGAACAACCCTATGAAACTACTGGAAAAGAGGACGGAGCAAAGCAAGAGAGAGATGGACATGGTCGAGATCCTTGAGGATCTTAGAGAGATCAATAAGCGCCATGCAGGTCTAGATGCTGACCGCGTGTTACTTCGTAAACTTTGGGAAGAGAAGGATAAGCAAGAAACCGAAGAAATTCAGCAGGAAGAGAAGTTTATAAAGTACGAATATTACGTCTTAAAATTACTGTAGAGAAGTTTTTTCGCACAAACAAGCTCAAATAAATCCAGAATTCAAGGAGGAGCTTATTCATGAAGTATCGCTTTTTAATCCGAATCGATTAGAAAATCTTCCAAAGGTTAAGAAGTTGCCGGAAGCGTTCAATCCAGAAACTAACGTAAAACCTGATTTACTTTTTGGACACATTAAATTGCTTTTAATTTAATTATACCCCTTGACATTTTTCATCTCTTTGGTAATATTAAATGGATATATTTGTGTAACTATTAAATTTGGGTTTAACAATTTTTTTCGTATATATAGTTCAGTTAATGTCATCACCATATTTATTTTCTTTCTCTGGTTTATAATCCAAATCTATTACAGAAATACCCCAGTTTAGTAACCAACTATTGAATAATCTTCCTCTTTAATGTCCTTTTGTAGTAGAAACTATTTTACCTCTGCGGTACTTAGTAAAGTTTGCGAGATACTACAAAATTCTGGATTTACACAACTGTTTGTCATTGTTTTACTGACTTTCATTTTTCTTAAGTTGGCTGAGTGTACTCCTGCATGCTAGTGGGGCTGATTCTTTCAAATAAAGCTGTTTTCAAATTTTAGTGCACTTGCGTATCTAGGAGGTATCAACTAGAGCCATATTGATAAAATACAGGGCTACTATGACGAGGAGCTCTTTTAAATGTCTAATTTTTTATGTGGATTATAATCTTAACTTTTCCTGATATGATGCCAATGAATATATCTATCGCGTCGAGTGTGTGATGCTGTCAGGTATACTTCTGTAGCGGACACAACGCAAGATGCTTTCCTTAAAGCCTAACTTGTGAAATCAGATGATAATGCATCTATATTTCGGTTTGTTATCCCTTAAGTATTTCGCCAGATTCTCCCTTATGCTACAAATACGGAACTATCGTTTGCCATGATGCTCGAACTTGATGCGACTTTGGATATATTTCCAATAACTTACATGTGATATACCTGATAGTCCCGTACTGTTATATGGTCCTGACGATGGCATTTAATTCAATTTGGTTTGTCGTTCATGTTTTATTCTGTCCTTAATTTTGTCTAGGTTCCATTAGCACTCCCGGCGGAATTTGGAACACAACCATTATGCTTATGTTAATGCCATCGAATGCAATACCCACTGCCCCACTTTTGATTCATACTAGGAATGGCCTAGCTTCACTCTAAAGTAATTACTATCCTTGTTCATTTCATATTTATTGCGAATCCCTTCTGTTAAAACAGCTACCAAACACCAAATTGAAACGACAACTTCTCGGCTTGGTGGTGCAGCACAAGCCTACAATTAACTCTATTTCATTGCCTTCGACCTCCAAGACGTCGGGTTCCCATCAGTCCAGTATCCAAGAGCCAGGCCAATCATCAATCACACCACTCCCCCCTGATACGGTTTCGTCAGACAAATTATTTGGAGCTGGCAACGAACAAATAGAGGAGAGGGTGGACCTTTCGAATATCCCTTCTAAAGCTCCCAGACTCGAGTCGGACGGTCATTTAGAGAC